GGGCAGAGGGGGAGGAAGGGGGGTTACAAGGTTTGTCACAGGGAAAAGTGCAGACATCTGCTGGAACTTCCATATCTAAGCTGTTCATTTACAGGAGCCAACTTCTGAAATCTCCACAATTAGATCTGCATTGTTCTTTCTCAACAACACTGCCTAGAAAGAAAAGGTCTTCTCTGTCGGGGCCAATCCAACGAAGCGTTTGACGTTATTAAATAATAAAGCGATTGTGATTTACATTGTTGTTCAGAAAAAGGGCCAATTATCCACTGTTATGTTGCCATAAAGATCATATTAACTCGAATTAGTAATCAAACAATATGCTAGCGTTAAAAGTATAGAAAGGACAACGCGACTGGTCTTGTTGCATCCTCACTTTTTCTTGTAAAACCAGAAGCATAAATCCACTTGAAAGAGGCTCAGAAACTTCATCCTTAACGGGGAAAAACGAAAGAGGTACCAGCCTTTGTGATTAATGGTCCTCTGTGTTGACTATTTTCAATTAATTCAAAGCCACTCAAATCTCATATTGATTTTTCTGTTTACAAATTAATTCTTCTTTCGAATATCACGAGAAATGTTCCATGGTACTCTGAGAACCAGGGCGACTTTTTTATATAAAGTCTTTCAGGATTTTGAATTTTGGGCGCTTTTTGTTTGTTTTTCATTTTGCTTTGAGCTTGGGATTTTTTTTTTTCGGAGTAACGTTTTCTACAGGCGTTTGAGTTCCAAGCAAAGATGAACCTCACCACCACCAAAACGCAAACTCAGCCGCATCCCTGCACTCCAGCAAATTTCTTCTGCCATAATCAAATAATTATTTTTATTAAAGCAGTTATTAGGTTTATAACTCATTTGCCACTTAAATTTGTGCAACCAACCAAGGCGATCTAAATAGGTTTGAGTTGCCCCTTGGGTCCGGGACGTAAGCGGTAAGAAGGAGGATTAATTATGGGTGTGTGCAGCAGGAGGACACAAAGGCTGGCCGGGGGTGCGGGGAGCAGCGGCGGGGCGCTGCCCCTTCCCCGGCACGGAGCGGGACCCCCGGCAAAACTCTCCTGCCCTCGCTCCTGAGCTGCCACGGGGCCAGGGCTGGGGCTGGGGTGCTACAACTTGTTGGCAGTAAATAAGGCGCTGTCAGGTGATGATGCTCCGGCGCGCTTGAAACGTCCCGAACAAAGTGTTAACGAGACTTATTTTCCATGCGTGATAAAGGATTATCATGATACAGGATTATCGATATGATATGATGATATGATATAGGAGCATCGATCTCTTGTCTCCTGTGTAGACAAGGTCCGTTCTTTGCGCGCGGGATGACAGGATCTGCCCCCTGGAAACGTGCTCCAAGCGCCCACCCGCACCTGACTGCTGGTTCTAATGTCATTTATTGCCAAGACGTTTTGTTATCGGCTGGGGGTGGGGGCTACTCGGAGCTCAGGTAATAACCGGGTAGCTGTCAGCTTCTCCCGTTTAGCACTAGTCAGGCAAGAATGGCTTTGCCAAACTGTTCCAGGAGCTGATGCTATTTGTTACCACGATTAGGGGAAAAAAAGAACGTTCACAGTAACATGGGTTTCTATAAGCAAACGCCCAGCAATTTTCCTCAGCGCAATGCATCAGCAAGTATATCCAAAAGAGCTTAATCTATTTCTTGCAGGTTAGGTGCAAGAGGAATCAGCAAGGGCTGCTCCGGGATGCCATGAAAATCCCGGCTCATTGGCTTGGCCGCGATAGGACGAGGCACATCAAATCGAGGCGGAGAGGAACAGAATCAATCAGTCCTCTTGGCTGAGGAGTGAGCCCTCGCTCTGGAAATCATTTCGAATAAAACTTGTGTAACCAAGTGTAGCCTAGCTTACTCTGAGCAGATCGTCGAGAGGGAAAAAAAAAGTTAAAAAAAATATTACGGAAATAAGCCAAGAAAAAAAAAAACAAAAACTGGACCGAATTATTAAGAGCGTAAAGTTTTCATCCATGTATAAGGATAATATATTAAGCCAAAAAGGAGACAGGTTATCTCTAAACAGGATTAAAATGCTTTCGTGTATAGGATTAGACCATCTCATCCATTTAAAAACAGTGTCTCACCTCCTCCCCACAACACTTTATTATATATTAAAAAAAAAAAAAAAAAAGCAAAAAACTTTCCCCGTTAGAAGCACTTGGGAAACACGTTTTATTAATCGAGAGGTTTTTTTTATTTTTCTTGCAATCAAATGCAACTGATGGCCCTGAATAAGCCGCCTTGTTAGGAAACGGGCCATTTTTTAAAACCTGTGATCAAAACAGACCTGTCTTCAGAGAGAGCACAGCAGATTTAAATGTTGGTCAAAAGGAGTCACAACTGTTCATTAAAAGCAAACCCTAACTAGTGCTAATGTATAGCCATTTTGTGAGCTCAGGACTGTGGAAAGAGGCGAAAAAAAGTCTGAGAGTGTGAGCTGATGCCGTGCTGGCTGGCAGTGTGTGGTCTATTGTAGGGAATGTGCTTTTTCCACTGAACAGAGAGCCCCCCTCTTTTATTCCCCAGCTCTACTGCACCTGCACTGGATCAGGGAGCTACTGCCATTCACCACATCAACAGAGAAGACATCTCTGACAGCACTCAATTCATTACATTTCTTCCTGCTTTTCAAACCAACGCACAAAAAAAAAAAAAAAGAAAAAAAAAAAAAAGAAAAAAAAAAGTATTGCCAATCAGTGCCTGGGGGGCAGGGAAGAAATCTTACATTACTTTATATTCGCCGCTCATTTTGTATTTCATTAGTCAGAAAACTCACTTCTCTGCCAGTTACCACTTTTCTCTTCTTTCTTTCTTTCTTTCTTTCTTTCTTTCTTTCTTTCTTTCTTTCTTTCTTTCTTTCTTTCTTTCTTTCTTTCTTTCTTTCTTTCTTTCTTTCTTTCCTTCTTTCTTTTCTTTCTTTTCTTTCTTTTCTTTCTTTTCTTTCTTTCTTCTTCTCTTTCTTCTCTCTCTTTCCTTCTTTTTCTCTCTCTCTCTCTCTTTCCTTCTTTTTCTTTCTCTCTCTCTCTCTCTTTCTTTCTTTCCTTTTTATTCTTTCCTTCCCTGCTTAGGGGGCTGCTGGCAGTGGGAGCAGGGCCGGAGCCACCTCCCCAGCCACGGCCGGGGCAGTCCCAGGGAGCGGAGATGGGCCCATGGCGGGGCTCCCCAGGACAGAGTTTATTCATAATTCATGGGAGCAGCTCGCGGGAGACGGGGAGAAAGAAACGGCCGAAGAGACCCAAGTGTCCTGCAGCAGCTGCGGGGGGAGCGGCTGTGGGGGTGCTACCGGGGGTGTTACCGGGGATGCCACCGGGAGTATTACCGGGGGTGTTACCGGGGGTGTTACCGGGGATGCCACCGGGGGTGCCGGGGCAGGCGCCGGGAGGGGACGCGCCGGCCCCCACCAGCCCATGGAGAAAGTTGTTATCGGCCAAACTCCTCCAAAGGGACTCCAGGGAATTTGGGGGGTAGCTTGGTTTCCTCAAGAACCGTTTTCAGAAGCATTTGCAAGCGAAAGAAACCGAGCCGAGGGGTTTAGACTCAGGTATTTGATCTCGCCGGACCCAGACATCTAATTAGAGTGGCCTCAGCGATTGAAATGGTGTTAATTCCCATTGTTCCCCGCTCAGATCCCTTGGCCCTCCACCGCTGGGATGGTCTCCTTTTCAAAATACTAAATAAAATATTTCTATTTGAAACAAACAAACAAGCAAACAATTTCTGTATTTTCCCCTTTTCTGGCCCATTTTTCTCCGTCGCGAGCAAAAGCAAAAACAAACTCCTGCGAATTTTTTTCGCAGACGCTGGTAAAGAATAAAACCCCCTCTGTGGGATCTTAACAGAAATAAATCACAAGGAGCTCTTGCCTACCTGAAAAGTAGGAGGAAATCCGACTGTCTGGTTTCGGGTGTAAAGTGTGTATCGATAAGGAAGACACAGCCGACTCAGAAACGGGACCCAATTAATCTATGGGTTTCTTTACATCACCCCCTGTTAGGACGTGTGCTTTGGAAATATTGATTCATTGCGACAGCAAAGTCGCAACTACTGTGTGTGCATAACACGGGGAGGACACGGAGCGAGAACCCGCAGCAACGCAAAGCCCACTCACGGGAGAGCCAGATTGCTTTTTAAGCTAAAACTAATAATTTCATAACTGATTCACATTCAATCTGCCGCCGATGACGTCACGGGGTATTAGCATACGAGGAGGGATGAAGCCAGTGTGGCTGGAGTTGATAAGGTGCCTCCTGAGGAATTCGCTGCTTGTTTTAATACATTAATTATTTCTCTGTCCTCCTCAACTTCTGCAATTTGTAAGAGCTTAAAGGAACCATCATTCCCAGCGATGCCAGGACGGGTCGGAGAGCTTCTCCCGTGGCATTGGAGCCCGGCAGCCGGGGGCAGCGTGGGGATGAGTCCCAGCCCCGCTCCCTGCCCGGCCCGGCCGCCCCGCAGAGCTCTGCCGGACTTGCTTCTGATTAATCGGGCTCCGGGCCCGGCCGTCCCTGCTCGCCCGGGTGAGGTCGGTTCGCTCGGACAGCGGCCGCCCCGGCGCTGGGAGCTTCCCGCAGGATGGGTTTGCAGGATGAAACCCTCAGCCCGGAACGCGTGTGAGTTGTGAGTGTCACAGTGAGCGTGAGCTGATGTGCCAAGACACCCCTGCGGAGCCTTCCCGCGGGAAAGCCTCTGCAGAGGCCCGTGTCTTTCCAGCACCCGGTGGGATTCCCCCTCT